AAATGTTTGTACTAATAATTATCACTATTATTTGTGATTAAAATCGACACTTTTCAAAAATATCTTATAGTAAAGGATTTTCAATGTTAAATAAAATTATATTTATAGTCTATGTATTTTACTATTTGCTAATATTTTCTTAAACAGTTAAACATTTTAAGTTTTTATAAAGAATTAATAATAACAATATATATTGTTATATATTTATAAATTGCAAAAATGGTACAAAAGTTAACGATATTGTTTGCGCCCGTGGAAAGCGTCGGACACGTGAATCCATGTATAGGTTTAGGTGAAGTACTGCTGAGTCGGGGCCACAAAGTGGTCTTCGCTGTCGACCAATCATTTGCGGGAAAACTATCGCCGTTTGGTTTCATTGAAGAGATTTTTACTTCAAACGAAATCAAAAGTCATAAACCGGGAGAAAATATGGCCATAGGTTTACTCGAGACGGGACTCCTGTCGGATAAAACGTCTTATGAATCGATACAACTGCTGCTGAATTGGCCCGTCTTTGAGGTTTTGATGAACAAACTGAGAGCCAATGAACCACAGCTTAAAGCAATTGTAGCCAAACATAATCCCGATTTGTATATCATTGACGACTTCGCCGCCTCTCCGACACTAACCCAGTCAACGAAGCCCTGGGTCTTTTTGTGTAGCGCTAATCCATTGTTTTGCATCAATGATGATATGACTCCTCCCAATACATCCGGTTAATTGGCTTTTATTTATATAATTTAAATTTTATTTTATTGTAAATTCAGGCTATCCTTCAAATGATCGACAAGAATGGGAAAAATACAATGAAGTTTTGAAAGACGGACACAAACGACGAAACATTATATATAATGAATGGATGAAAGAAGAAGGATATCCCATAAACACAGACAGCACATCCTTCCCTATTTCGCCGTTTCTTAATATCTATGGATATCCCGAAGAATTGGATTACACAGACATCCGACCCATACCTGAGAAGTGGTTAAGAGTCGACACATTTATGAGAAGAGGAGAGAAACAAGAGTTTAAAATTCCCGATA